GCCACCGCGTCATCCTCCTAACATCGACACCGACACAGTCTCTCCCCGCACCCTCCATCCCTTCCATATCTTTCGTTTCATATCTCAATCCAGCCCAGTTTTGGTCATGCACATCGAGGGACCTCATTATAGCAACACGTCGTCCAGCTTTGCTTTTGTCGAGCTACAGGGAGTCAGGGCTTTTCTTAACTCGGCTGTGCGGCGTGCGTGCGTGCGTGCGTGCGTGGTTGGGGAAGTAACCTTACAGTCTTTAATCTTGTACAGTGTAGTGTTGAGGGGGTGACGCAGTCAAATTTGCTGAGGCACCCATCCGATTGAGAAATATTTGTAGGGATCGTATGGGTGACGTCTTCAATCTTAATGCTGCATTAATTTTTAAACTTTTGTCAGGCTCCGTGCTTCCTGCGGCTACAGTATCTCCAGATTGGTCAGATGCAGCACACGCTACCGCCGTCGTCCACAATACAGCCGCCCACCCATCCAGATCATACCCGATCGCAAGCCTACCAAGCAGCTAGAGTTGTTCTTCTCTCACCTGTCTTCAAACATGCCGCCTCTTTCTCTGGAGGAGAAAGCTGTCGCACTCGTCGTGGCCGCTGTAGCGCATCATCATCATGCTCGCCGCAAAAGTGTGATTGCTCGCACTCGACGTCCACGAAATCGCCCATTAGCAACACGCGAGCGCCCCTTTCAAAACACATTCTCCAAACCCTTCCATCGCGTTACACAACACCTCGACCGCCATGCGTTTCGACGCATGTTTCGGATGACGCGTCGCGCGTTCTGTAATCTGCTGACCACTCTCTCAATCGCACTGCACAGGCCTCACCAACGCGCTACTAACTACCGACGGGAAACGATCACTGCTGATGTGCGACTAGGAGTAACTTTGCGTATACTGGCCGGTGCGGAAGTCCTTGATGTTTGTTACATCTTCAAAATTGGAAACTCTACCGCATATAATTTGCTTCATGACACTGTAGATGTCATGAACAGTGTGTTGCGCTTTCCTAAACTGCCGCGAACGGAGGAGGCGTTGCATGCGGCAGCTAGGGACTTCAAAATTTCCCGATCCCAGTTCAATCCACTAGATGGCTGTGTGGGAGCCCTAGATGGAATTTGTATGAAATTGAAGAAACCGAAGAACGAGAGTATACCTGCGTGCTCGACAGACGTTGCCCACTTCCCGTTGATGGCCGGCGAGGCCAAACGGGAGGGGGAATACTTCTTGGGGGAACAGTGGACAGGTCACTCCAGCGGCGGGCTTGGCTAGAAGGGGGGTGAGTCTCGCGCTCGCTTGCATGTTCCGCTGTGGTCGCGGGATGTGGAGAAGGGGATCGTTGAGAGGGAGTTGGGGTGTCGGCAGCGGCAAAGTAGTTGGCTAATATGCGGGGAAGTGGATCGGTGTGTCGTGGGAAAGAAGGGGGTCTCGAGGGATGGGGGCTTCGGTGGTTACGAAGAGATCGCCTCGGGTAAATGGAGACTTCCATGAAGGGAGAGAGGAATTGGTTTTGAGATGGCATGTTTTTGATTGCGATGTTAATGGACGGGGATAGTGTGATGGTATCTCGAATGGGCACATGTGGGGGTGGTCGTAGAGTTCTGCGCTTCTGTACGAAGGAGCACAAGGTGACGACTTCGAGGTCCGGGGCATTAGCATAGGACGCAAAATTGTATCTTAGCTGGACCAACTCGGAGATTAGCATCGAGATTTGCAAACGTGGGCTTTAAGCTTGCCGTTTTGCCGCCTTTTTAAAATTTTGAAGATTGGCATCGGTGCCAATGAGGTGTTGACAAGGTCGAGGCTGGTGATGTGCCAGGCGGCTGCGTGTACGGAGAGGAGTAGTGTAATGGAGCCAGACGTGGTTTAAATTATTCTTCAGGGGCCAATAGGGGTGGAGAGAGGCCTTGGGCACGCATGCACGCACGCCGCGCGTGCGAGTTAAGAAAGGCCCTCAGACTGGGCCATGTGCATGCGCGAGGAGGCGTTGCTGTACCTTCCATGCTGCATGGATCTGCAGACCGTCCAGACTCTGTTCCATTTCCGAGGAGTGGAACTATGGGATGGCATTACAGTAAAAACTACAGCAATGTGCCTCCGATTTTAGTGAAGAACTCAATAAAAACGGGGCGAGGGAAAGGAAAAACGAGAGGAAAGTCCTTTGTTAGAACTGGCCCTCAGACACATGGCACTTTTTGTGTTTGTGCGTCTGGCCGGCATTAGTGGGAGGGTGGCATTAGTAAAAGTGGCACTAATGGGCGTCCCCCCTGTATCTTCTTTCCGCGGCACACAGTACGGATTTCATGCATCTTCTTTTTTATGCATCTTCTTTTTTATGCATCTTCTTTTTCACCACCTGCATCTTCTTTTTCATGCATCTTCTTTTTCATGCATCTGTGGGTACTAGTAGCGGATTATACTAGGCGTGGGGATCAGTTATGGTGAATCCTTTCACATAAGCAGTTGTTTTCGAAATCAAAGCGGTTTGTTACAGATTGACATCGAAATTACAGAGTTGCAGGGGAATATCATAATTCAATAATCTTTAATTAGGACACAACAAAGCTGACAGCAGAACTGTCCCTCTACATCAGAGTGTTCATCCTCCGCGTTGGTCCCCATTGAACGAAAAGACACAATCTCATCGGAAGTCTCTGCATTTTCGCGCGAAACAGAGCAAACGCTACTCGGCGATGGTGTGCGCACACAATTCTATCTTACCATGGAACAATTGGCGCCCATCTACGGATCACACGAAAGTTCATGCGCTGTCTGCTCTTCCGCACTTGAGACTTCTGAACGCGTCTTCACACAGAATCCCATCCAACCCTCCGCTCTGCTTATCCATCGCGATCGCCTGTCATGACACGCTCACTCAAGAGCGCCGATCCCGCTGCTGCACTCGAGATACTTGGAGAACAGGCCGCACTACGGCAAGAGGAACTCGAAATTTTTGACGAGCTCGGTAGCCTTTCAGGGAGTGAGGACGGGCATGAAAGTGACTCTCCCATCATTGACAAATTTTTCGTAGAGAACGGCAATCAAGCCATCATGGACATGACAAATTTTACTCTGAATGGGTTCATGTCTATTTGGAACAATGTGGCCGAACACGTACGCCAAAACTATAACACTGGACGAGGAAGCAAATCGCCCATTCATGCCAAGGATTTGCTTTTTATGACGGTTACCGTACTGAAATATGGAAGCAAATGGGACATGATAGCATATCTTTTTGGAATGAAGGCACCGACGTTCGAAAAAAGAGTGACCAAGATGATCAAAATGCTTTCGAAACATGCTTACTCCAAGTTTGTCACATTCTACGAGCGCCAGTACTCGATGACCAGGCTCATATCAGAGAAGAAAACTTTCAAAAATTACAAGATATGTCGTTACGCAAATGACGTTACGTTTATCCAGAGTTTTCGTCCCGATGGCTCGCTTGAGGAATCGAAAAAGTATTTTTCCGGCAAGCATAAATTGTACGGATACAAGGTTGAAGTATCGGTTCTTTCTAATGGTTTAGCGATTGGATCAGGTCGGCATCATCCAGGATCTATTAGTGACATTGAGATAATGAGAGATATGATCGGCTTTCATGCTGATTGTCTGGAAAATCGGAGGAGGAGAAGACAATCATCGACATCGGAAACGGGGCTGACTTGCATGCAGAAAGCTGGGGCGTGCTACTGGACAAAGGCTACGTGGGAATCGAAGGTGAAATAAGAAGCGTTATTCGCAAGAAGAAACCACAGGGAGGCATGTTGAGCATTTCGGACAAGAGAGAGAACGAGGCTAAGTCGGCTGATCTAATTATAGTTGAGAATTATTTTGGAAGACAGAGCACGCTGTGGGCAGTAGTGGCTAACAAATATCGCTGGGCTGAGGATTGGTTCGACGACATATTTCGTTTGACGATGGCATTGACTAATGTACATATCAGATGTCATCCGTTGCGAGACAGTGATGGTATAACGTATGAACGTTATTTGAAACGTTTGCACGATATAGCACAAACGGGCGTGAATAAGCGCAAACGTGCTCAGGCCTCGTATCGAAAGCGTACGAAGCGTGCAATGGAACGCACGTTGCGAATGAGGGAAGAAAAAGAGGGGGTAAGTGCTCTGTTTGATGACGAGGAGGAGGAGGTCAGCGATTGAAATTTTTCTGAGCCATTACGTTGATAGTCTGTACCTGGAGTGATGAACGACATTTGAGTAAAAAGACCGTTTTCCTGCATGCGTTGCGTTACATCTCGATTTAATTTACCCCAGTATGCAAAGATCACATGCCTTCCGAAAAGATCAACGATTTTCGCATATGAGAGGCCTAAGATGACGAGCTGAACATCTGACTCGCAGACCTACTGTTCCGACCCATATAATTTTGAAAGCAATTATAAATTGTGAGTTCCATTCCGGAAACTGCTACAGTGGATCAACAACCAACATAGCCGATGTATGCGCGACACGACAGTCATCTCGAGAACGGCTAGTCACTTCTGAAAAAAAACCAGCTATGCGCAGGCCAAACCACCTCTGAGATATTGGGTGAAAACAAAAAAGTTGTTGGACTACTGTAGGGCCTCATACAATCAGAATATCAACTCCATGGCCCAGTATTTGAGGACTTCTTTATTCAAAATTAGGAATCTCGGAATCGTACTGCGTGAATCGGAAGCGATGGTTCACACGTGGCTTGCGCCTTTCCCTGTACCTCTGCAACACCCTACGCCTTTTCTCAATAGTAATCTCCTCAATCTGATTCATGCGATTGCGAATGCGCGTAAATCGCTTTTGATCCGTCGCCCGCAGAGGCTGCCATTTGATGTGACAATTTGTGAGGGCAACACCTAGGCGGAAGTAGTCATCGTCTATTGTCTCTCCCCATCTCCACTTTCGGGACAGACACTTCCACAGCCCACACAGCCTACCAAAAAACTTTCCATGATGATTCGGTCGCTCGCGAGCTTGCGGTTGTATCTTTCGTATCTTTCATCACGAAGATAAAGCGTCCCATTTCTCGGCTTCTTCGAAGGCGTCACCCCTCTCAGTATTTCGTGCACTCCTTGGTATCCTTTGCCCATAAGAGCTGCCCACATTTGTGGATACTCCACACTCAGCTTCCCCAAATCATCCAACTCTCTCTCAGGTCCACTTTTGGACAATTCTTTCAAATGCCAGTCACGGTTGCACTGTATTATTTCAAAATCGGAAACTGAACCAGGGTAATGCGCAGTCATGCCAAGGGCAAGACCATTCGGCATGACAGAAACTTCCACTTTATATCCGTAAAGCTTGTGTTTTCCACTGAAATAACGTTTTCCTTCCTTAATACTTCCACTAGGTCTGAATTCTTGCTGAAAAGTAACGTCTGTCGCATAACGAGCTTCTGGGAACGACTTAAAATTTTGCTGCGCTTTTTGAAGATCTGCCATTTTATGCATCTCGCCGACCTTCTCCACAAAGCAGGCGAATACAAATTCTGAAATCAAATGCACAAATCGTGTGACCAATTGCTCAAATGTGGGACCCTTCATATCGAGCACTCTCGCCAACATGTTCCACTGACCTCCGTGTTTCAGCACTGTGATAGTAACAAAAAGTGCATCTTTTCTGGAGACCTTCGACTTCTGTCCACGTCCAACATTGTAGGTCTGAGTGATAAAATCCGATACGTTATTCCAAAGCAGCTCAAAGGTTTGGGGGAGGAAGATGGTCCTGTTGCGAATTGCCTCAGGGCCGCTTTCGTCGTAGGAACAGTCAAACAGCGGTCAAGGCGAGTCGGTCTGGTCATTGTGACTGTCGTGCAGTGCGCCTGTCAGGCAGAGACCAAGGTCCGGCGGTCCTACACAAACAACAACAACAACAACTGCCAACGGCACAGCGCTACGGAGTGTTCGAAGCTCCCTGTCCTCTTTAAGCGGGTTTGCGGCCCGCAGTAGCTCGAATCCCTGATAGGGGGGCAACGAGAAGGCCCCAGCCCGGGATCGGTAAATGGTGGTAGAGCCTTGTAAAGGCAACTGCTCGACGCGTTCGGAGGGGTGTCTAGGTAAACCTGGTCCGATGGGTCGTAAATCCAATGCTCGTAGAGCGCCTTGTACACCTTATACCCTTGATAAAGTCTTCGACGGGAACGTCGCAACGTAGCCCAACGGTATAAGGTCACAATAGCAGCGCTACACTTTCATGCTGCCCGATGGCAAGAAGCACCAACACCGGATCGGTCGCAACCAACTCTGATGGAACCAACTCTGAGAAAAGCACCACTAGTGCACCAACACAGAAGCCCGATGGCTAATGACGTCACGTTGCGGATCGCAATCCTGCAAGGTGGGACCAACTCAAGATTAAGGGAAATTAGGATAGGGAAATAAAGGAAAATTGAGAAGGAAAAAGGGGACCCCCGAGCGCAAAGGATACCGTAGGCTAAAGTAGATGGGAATGTCTTGTAAAAGACGGACTTCGACCAAGGCGATATCATACTCTGGCAACTCGGGTTACCTTTACTGACTTGGTGGTCAATGGGCTAAGTTACATATCGCCCCGCCGAAGCCACTACAGTAGCTCGGGGTGCTAGATCCTAAATCTAATCTAATGTCACCTAAATAATTGGTAACTAAATTAAAACAAATAATTAAAATAATACTGTGCAAATATTCACACGTGTGTCCCCCAATCCGGACTACTTTCTCATACCTTATTGGTTTCCTTTCGTTCCACCCCCCTGTAGAGCCCATTATTGCACTACATATCCCCCTCCTGAGCGCCACTGTACTAGGGCAAGTTGCCCTCGCTTCGATTCACAGCTTCGACATCTGGTCTTCTGATGTCCGCCAAGCATACCTCCAGTCCGCCGAACCGCTTTCTATAGTGCTCTTCATCACCAAGCCCGTCCCTGAGTTCGAGCTACAACCCGAACTGTGTCTCAAGCTGCTCAAACGCCTGTACGGCCTCTGTGACGCCGGAGACCTCTGGCACAAGACCCTAGACGAGCACCATCGACATGACTTGGGCATGACCCCGTTTCGGTCTGACCCGGCTCTCTACATGATCATGTCAAATGGT